GAGTCATGGTAGTGGGAGCGGGGAGGAAACATTTAGGAACTAGAGGAAAGTAGTATTTCTCATCGTTGCTACATCGCACCCTGACTGGTTCCTGACGTTATTCTTTAAAGCTACACAGTATGTACCAAAGTTTGTTTATCCTTTCTTCCATCGATGGCCACTTAGTAGGTTTACATCTCGGATCTCTGTGGATGTGCATTGCTGAACATGGCTGGGTATAAATCAAGGTGGATGGTGAACGTGGCTGTGGACATATCCGTGTGCCTTTATTTCTCTCAGGTTTCTAGAAAGCGGAGAGATTGCTGGGGCATATGGTATTTCTCCCCACGTCTGTCAGTTGGTGGTACTGTGGTGGCTTGTACGTGGCTTTGATGCTGGAGGTGATGCCAACATTATTCAAAACACCAACAAGGTCATCCACGGGTTTCAGTGGAGTCTGACGAAGAGGAACAGAGTACAAAGAACAGGTGATCCACTTCCGAAAACGTACCTCCGGAGCTTTCTGAATAGTGGTGGACCACACAAGATGACTAGACAGACCGGGAAGAAAGGACACACTGGATGTCAGTGGGGCTCTGAAAGTTGCAGGCGTCCTCAAACTGCGGTCCGAGGAGTGTTTTTGCCCCGTTTGTTTTTTACTTCAAAATAAGATATGCGCAGTGTGCATAGGAAGCTGTTCATAGTTTTTTTTAAACTATAGTCCGGCCCTCCAACGGGTCTGAGGGACAGTGAACTGGCCCCCCCTTTAAGGTTTGGGGACCCCGGTGGCGATGGCTTCAAAGCTGGACGGCAAGGCCAGGTTATACAGCACGACGGCCAGTGCGCACGCTCGGGCGAGCGCGTCACCGCGCGGCCCAGTCCTGGGGGTGAAACCCGTCCCCCTCGCCCAGCAGTCGGGGGGTAGGAAAGGCGGGCAGAGTCGCCCCCCGCTCCGCGGGGCCCAGCCGACTTCCGGTTCCGGTGGCCGCAGCCGTCCCGCCCCCGCACTTCCCGGCCGGGCGAAGTTGCCGCCCTAGGGCGCTCCCACCCGCCGCCTTCGCGAACCTGGGTCCCCCACTCCCTGCCCTCAGGCCCCCACCCCCCCCACCCCGCGAGGAAGCCGGTCTGCAGCGGAAGAGCCCGGAGTAGGAAGGAAGCCGAGGACTCGGGACCCTGCGTACTCAAGTCTGATGGAGTTCCTAAAGTGGGAGCTGCAGCCCTCCTTTCCTAGCAGCCCTGTGCCCTTTGGGGGCTTCCGAGTACTTGGGGGGGGGGGGTATGGTTGGCCAGGTACCCCCAGGCTATGGCGCTGGGAGTGGAGGGAGTCCCCAGCCTCTCCGCCGGCAGCTGCCCCTTTCCCTACCTGCCTTTTGGGCCCTGCTTTCAATATGCCCAGTGGGGGGATTGGGCCCCAAGATCTCCCCCACCATGGGGCAGCCGGTCTCTCCCCACCCTTCCCCCAGCGCTTTGCCCAGCCAGGTGCACCGTTTGGCCCCTTTCTTCTCCAAAGACCTGGTCAGGGGCTTCCCAGCCCGTCCCCTAACACAGCCTCTTCCCTGGCCCAGGTGGTGATGGGGGGAAAGCCCTTAAACCCACTGCTTTTCCCCAGGAGCCCCACTTGGGCTCCCTGGCTGCTGCTGTGAATGGGAATCAACCCAGTTTCACCCCAAACAGCAGCAGGTGGGGGCAAGGTGGATGTCAATAGCTTGGCACCTGCTGACAAAGCATGCCGGGGGTTCAGGGTCCCAGGCCTGGTGTATCACCGTGGTGCCTGTAGCAGTGAGGTTACAACGACCAGGTGCCACTGCAAGGGCATGGGCATGACTGTGAATGCCTACAGGCTTCTCACCGTGGAGGCCTGTCTCAAGACCAGAGTCAGTCCGTCTACATCCCAGACTGCATGGGGCAGCTGGTGGCTGAGGCCGTGGTGGTGACCCTGGGGAAGTGCGCACGTCCCTCCCTGCCCTTCTGGGGTGCTCGTTTCTGGGTCTGGCTCTACGTCCGTTTCCAGTGGCTCCCCATTCCCACGGCAGCAAAGGTTTTGAGATGGGCAGGTCGAAGAGGGCCGGATCGCTGACTTTTCCAGTAACTTGGTGGCTGCGATTTACTGAGGTCCCAGGAGTCAAAGTCTTGTGGTTCAGAGCCATCTCTTGGTGGCTGTCTCCAGAGGCCTAAGGCTGTGGCGGCCAGAGGAGACCTGTTGGAAGCCCCGACACCTGTGCCTGTACCTTAATGCCACAGTGCCAGCCTGAGTTTTTGATATCTTAGTTTTTGGGCGGAAGAGCTGCAGCCTCTTCATCCCAATAGTTCTTAAGGGCTTTGAGAAGGCGCTAGGGCAAAAATGGGACTTCCCGCAGAGACAAAGGAGCAGGAGAGTTCTTGGTGATTTGAGGCTTCCAGACAGTAGTAAGAGATGCTGACAGGACCTAAACAGCCTCATACAAAAGTCACTACATTTCTCCTAATGACCAGGTGGTTTTGTTTTTTACCCAAAATAGTGGGATATGTGGTCTGGACCCTGGCAGGCGCCTTGCTGTCGTCATACTAAAAGTCGTCATACCAGAGCCCGGATGTTCTCTGCTGCTCCTGGCCCTGGCGGTTTTCATGTCTTGGGTGTAGTCACCCAGTTCTTGGTCCTCTCAGCCGATGCTCAGTTGTGGGCTGTTTGCTTCTTAAAATACTGGCTGCAGAGAGGAGCCCAGGGGCTGAGCTGTTCATCCCACAGTTCTGCCCATTCCATTCCTACTGGGGTGGGGGAGGGCAGGCAGGAATGTGGTCCCTAAGCACAAGGTGTGGTGGCAAAGGCCCCTGTGTCTCCCTCCCTCACAGGCTAGCCACGGTGTATGTGATGGGACCCAGCAGCCTCACAACTCCCTGTGGCCTAAATTTGTCTTGTGTTTATTTGCCCCTTTATCTGTTGATACTTTTGTGTTGTCTCCACCCCTCTCCTTTTTGTAGAAGGAGTAGGTCTTGGGGTGGCTCTTTGCTCTCTCCCTCCACTACTTCCTGGAAGAAAGTTGGGTGACAGGAGTGGGGGAGTGTTTTGTATGGTTGGATTAATAAAATGCCTTGAAAAAAAAAAAAAAAACACTCAGCACATCTCAAGCTGAAAGAAAAATTTCAAGTGAGTTGCAATTTCCAAGGATTCTGTGGGCCAAATATTCTATGATGCGAAGCATCAAGAGGACAGAACACTGTACCAAAAAGAACTGCTCAGTGTTCAGCCACTCCGAGAGTGGGCGTGTGATCAAGGACCATTGGCACTGATGGGTAAAACCTAAGCGGCACTGAAGGCATGAGTCACAGTACAGGCAGTGGCAGAATACCAAGGGAAATGTGTCAACACTCACACATCCCTGGTCCACACATCAGAAAGACAACCAACCGAGAAATCCCTACTTGTGTCCACACCAGATAGAGCGATGAGTGGAGTGTGGGAATTATGGAACAATATCACCGTATCACATGAAGGAAAATTTTTGCTTTTACCGAACTAATAATCTTGGTAGTCATTGCTTGGAATGCATTTTGTTTTCAGAATTGTACCGGCACAGCAGCCTTTTATCTTCTGTTACAGTTCTTTGAATAAATGCTTCCAACCATGTTTCCATTGTTTCACATTTCCATTGAAATCTCTGCTCTTGCCCACAGCTGATTTGGGCACAACACCTTTTGCATCCATGGAGCATAAAGTTTGCCGAACTTTCTCAGTCAATTATGAACAAACTGAGATGTCTATAACGTGGCTTTCTCAATGTGGGCTCAATGCATTCAAACATAAGAATAACTGGGAGCATGGCACGCATCTGGGCAATGTTTCATTCTGTTATCATTCATCCACCCATTATTCACTATACATTTGATACTTATTCTTTCTTCAATTTTAGAATTCATATTCCTCTGATTAAGTTCTTTGAGAGCTCATATATTTCCCATGTGCCAACTAGGTAGGACACATTGCCAAAGTGAGTGAGTTTATTGTGGTACCATATAAATGTAAAATTCACGTGTTTCCACATAGTATACATTTTCTTAAAAACCTTTGAAGACCCAATTTATTCATAAGTTAGTAATAAGGCTGGTGAATCTTTCACTGCAAAATAAGTAGACAGAAGGGGTTAAATGACACAAATCAAGCCCAGGGATTTCTACTGACATTAATTACCTTAGGGCAGCTTCTGTTCCTTTTCTTGGCTCTGCAGAAGGCCCATGACAATTGAAAACTGTCACCATTTTGACTAACAAGCCCGGAATGCCAGCAGGGAAAGCTTGCTGGCAGCTATTAACCCAGAAGAGGAACGCCCCTAGAGATCTGGATGGCTCTAGTCACCCTGACAGCTGTGGAAGCTGGGACATCCCTTGTGGACTGAATGAGCTCTCTACACAAAACTATCATCACTACACTCTTCATGACTTGTTAGGCCACATGGAGAAGCAGTGTCTGGATACACAAGATGGTTGGTGGGTTTTGCTGCCCGGTTTTCCTTCTAGCCGCTACCCAAAAAGGTCTTTTGCCAATCCTTTCCTTGGTATATGGATGGGTTCCTGTTGCTGTTTACCAGAAACACTGCTGCAGTCGGTGACTCCAGCTGCAGTATGCAGTCACTGGGTAATTTCTTAAAACCTTGACTTGGGGACTTGAGATTTTTAAGAACCAAAGTATGAACTATAGGTAAACCAGGTTTTGCAAGCCCAAATATAGGTATGCTTTTACTTGCCACTAGTGAACTTCTCCTTGCTAATTCACTTTATGTAACACCTGCTAGTGTGGCCCTGGAGGCCTGGAGTCCAGAAACAGATAAATTTGTTGGCTACAGCTACGAGTCCCTACCACACTTTAAACAGCATGGAGATTCGAGTCAGTCTTGCTGTTATCCAAGGATATCCAATAAATTGCCGTTTTCAGTTTTATGCCACGTTGGGCACAGAAGAGGTATTGGTATTATAGAAAATAATCTGTATAACTCCAAAGTATCAACCTATGAGAAACTTACCGATTATAACGGATAGAATAGTTAACTATACAATATGAAAAGAAAAAACAGACCAACCCCCCCAAAATAGGAATTTATTTCATTTTACATAATAGCAAAAAAAACAAACAAAACAACATTAAAAGAATATAAATTATTTGTTCAAAGTATTATCTACAATCTTATGTGTAAAAGCTAAAGATTTAAAAAGAAGTAAAATGGAGCTTGGGCTGAGCAATAACAAAGCAAGTAGAAAAACCCCTCTGTTGTAATGAAACTGGCATTTCTTCCAAAGGCACACAGGATCCTTTCTTTCAGTTACTGCTGTCAACACTGACAAAACTTGTTCCTTTACCACACAACTTCACAAATGTACTGTTTGATATCATCACTGTACAGATAAAACATTCTATTTTTGAGACAGAGCAACCTTTCCACTCTAAGTTCTTCTTTTCCAAGGTAAGAAAGGAAAAAGTTAAGGATTTCCACATTACTGTAAGAATGGACATAACTGTGAATGCTTATATGTTTAATATGTTTTGATGAACTTATTCCTTACATTAGAAGGACTCTTTTCACCATGAGTGCTTACGTCTGGTCAGGGCTGATTAATCACTAAGGCTCATCACCCCTGTGAAGTACTCTGTATGCAGTGAGTGCTAAGGAATTAAAAAAGGCTTTTGCACATTCCTTACGTTTATATAACCTTTCTCCCATGTAATCATCTGACGTCTTATTACGAGGTGAGGCCAGACTGAAGGCGTTCCCATGTAGCTTACACTCAGTATTTCCACCCTGTGAATTCTTACACGTATAATCAAAGTTAAAGCTTGACTACAGGTATCACCATATTGCTTAAATTCATAAGGCTTCTCTCAACTGTGAGTACTTACATGTTCGATGAGATGTGAGGAATACCTAAAGGCTCTCCCCTGTGCTTGCATTCATAGAGCCCCTCTCCGCTGTGAACCCTCAGGTGACGCGTGAGAGCTGTGCTCTGTATAAAGCCTTTCCTGCAGTGCTGACATTCATAAGGTCGTTCACCACTGTGAATCCTTCTATGTTCAGCCAGAATGGAGGCTCGGCGAAAGGCTTTCCCACATTCCTTACATTCATAGGGCCTCTCTCCACTGTGAATTCTTATATGATTAGTGAGAGCCGTGATTTGTGTAAAAGCTTTCCCGCAGTGCTTACATTTATAAGGCCTCTCACCACTGTGAATTCTTATATGTGCAGTCAGATTTGAGGCTTGACGGAAGCCCTTCCCACATTCCTTACATTCATAGGGCCTCTCTGCACTGTGAATCCTTACATGACTAGTAAGACCTGTTCTATGGGTAAACGCTTTCCCACATTCCTTACATTTATAGGGCCTCTCTCCACTGTGAATCCTTTTATGTACAGTGAGTGTTGTGCTCCGTGTAAATGTTTTCCCACAATCTGTACATTCATAGGGCCTCTCCCCACTGTGAATCCTTTTATGACTAGTGAGACCTGTGCCCCGTGTAAAGGCTTTCCCACAGTGCTTACATTCATAAGACCTCGCTCCAGTTCTATTGTGTCTATTGAGGTTCAAGGTATGTCTAAAGGCCTTCCTACACGGATCACATTCCAAAGCCCTCTCTGAACTAATAAGTAGAGTATGGGATGCGGCACATTCCTCATATTCAGAACGTTTGCTTTCACTGTTATTTCTTATATGTTGTGTTAGGGATGGGAAATCACTGAAGGTTCTCCCACATCCCTTACATTCATAGGGCCTCACTCCATTATGAATCCTTCTGTGTGCAGCCAGATTAGAGGCTCGGCGAAAGGCTTTCCCACATTCCTTACATTCATATGGCCTCTCTCCACTGTGAATCCTTACATGACTGGTGAGACCTTGGCTATGTGTAAAGACTTTGCCACATTCTTTACATTCATAGGGCCTCTCTCCACTGTGAATCCTTATATGACTAGTGAGACCTGTTCCCCGTGTAAAGGTTTTCCCACAGAGCTTACATTCATAAGGTCTCTCACCACTGTGAATCCGTTTATGTGCGGCTAGATTTGAGGCTCGCCGAAAGGCTTTCCCACATTCCTCACATTCATAGGGTCTCTCTCCACTGTGAATACTTATATGACTAGTGAGACCTTGGCTTTGTGTAAAGGCTTTGCCACATTGCTTACATTCATAGGGCCTCTCTCCACTGTGAATCCTTATATGACTAGTGAGACTCGTTCCCCGTGTAAAGGCTTTCCCACAGTGCTTACATTCATAAGTTCTCTCACTGTGATTTCTTATATGTGCAGCCAAATTTGAAGCTCGACTAAAAGTCTTTAAACATTTCTTACATTTATAAGGCCTAGCTCCAGTGTGAGTTCTAATATGTCTATTTAGGTTTGCGACTCGTCTAAAGGTTTTCCCACAACGACCACATTCAAAAGCCCTCTCTGCCCTGTCAGTTCTAATCTGCAGAGTAAGGGATGAGGCACATTCCTCATACTCAGAAGGCTTGTTTCCACTGCTGTTTTCCACCTGTTGAGTTGGAGAAGTGAAATCACTGAAGGCTTTCCCACATTCCTTAAGTTCATAAGGAATATAGATTTTACCACCTTCATGGGTATAAGTTCTGACATGTTTCCAAAAGGATGAAGAAGTACAGAAACATTTCCCACATTTGCTACATTCATACAGTTTCACACTGTTAAGTGAGAGCACAGGATTCTTAAGTTTCGGGCTGCAAAGGAAGTCCTTCCCATATGCCTTACAAATAGGGAATTGTATTCCATTAGGAATTCTTCCAGGGCTGGACAGGGCAGCCGAACAACTGAAGGCTTCTCCATATTCCTTATACTGAGAAATACTGCATCCAATGTTAGATTTACTGTGATTCTTTTGTGATAAGTGATCCATGGAGGCTTTTCCAGTCTCACAGCATTCAAAAGGATTCACTTCTGGAGGATTTCGTTTTAGTACAGTAAGGTTTGGGATCTGGCTGAAGTTTTCCCCACAATCATTGCCTTCATTATGTTTATAGTGGTTTTTTATTGAATGACTTCTGTTAAAAACAGGTAAGATGCTGTTAGAAGTTAATTATTTACCCATTTTCCTTTACCAAATACATTAAATGAGCACAGTGCCTTACTGTGGTAGTTAATTTCATGTCTACTTGATAAAGTTCAGCCTGTCAATCAGGCCACAGACTGATGATGCCTCCCTGTGGGTGTGGACTTCTCATAAGGAGGGTCCTGGGAACCTCTCTCTCTCTTTCGTCTCCACCTTCCTGTGGCGTTGCCAGGTGGAGTTCCGCCCAAACTCTGGAGATGCGCCCACTACCACTGGATAAACAAATTCGCACCCATTGGCCTGTGACCTTGCTGAATTTTGCATCATTGCATGCAGCTGCGTGAGTCTAAAATGGAGCTTATGGAGAATTGGATTTATAGACTTGATCTGGATTGGGCTGGGATGTTTGCTTGATGTATAATTATTTCTTGATATCAAGCTCTCCCTTATAATAGTGTCTCTGGAATTGTTTCTGTAGTCAACCTGGCCTAATACATTATGGTTCTTTGGGGGTACGGAACTAGAGAAACAAATCATGAAGATGGAGAGTGGATGCTTGACTTCTGTCCTATGGTAGTTATTTTCCTGGCTAGCTGGACATCAGATGTGGCCACACTCTTTACTTGATTGTTTTCTGGAAAAGACATGGGAAGTGAAGCTTTTGATTCCCACTAGTTGTCTCTGGCTAATCTGGTCTGAAATGGTGAAAATGAATGTGAGAAATATAAATTTGAGCTCAGGGGGTGAAATAGCCCTTGAAGCTCTCCGAGGCAGAGACCATGCTGCCTAGTCAAAATGGCTGACCAATGGCCTGGTCCTGGCTTGATGTGACCAGAGGTTTAAGGCCATATTGCATATAAATGGGGTTATTTAGATAAGGATTGAGTTTGACTTTCAAGAATGTGTTTAGGATCTGGCTGTACTAGAATGATATTGATTTCTTCTAACTACTGTTTTTGATATAATTTGGTAGAAATGATTATTGGGAAGTATGAAAATAAAGAGATTGTAAACCAACTGCCATCAACCATTAAATTAGATCTTTAAATGGGTATAGAACAAGACTACAAAAGAAGACTCTGAAAAGATAACCCCCACCCAGTGCCTTGGGTGTCAGTGCATTTGCCTTCAAAAACACTTGCATAAGGAGCTGTTAGCAGAATGAAGAAGAAAAACATTTTGGCCCTTTTGAATGTTGAACTAGGGGTTTGCACCTAAAGCTGGAAAAATCTAGAGCCATTAAGAAATTCTCCTATTTAGGACTGAATGTTAAAGGAAGTCTGTAGGCAGCCTGTGGCTCCATCTGGATCCACTTATTCAATGGAAGTGGGATAAAAGCAGCAATAGAGAGATGACTAGAGTCTGGGCACTGATATCCATGACCTGATTCACAAATACTAGAGAAGACTAGAGCGGTCTGCCTGGCCTGAAGTTTTAAAGAGTTATGCAGAATCAAGCCTGTGGCATCACCTAGCTTAAGAGGGATAAGGTTGCTGAGAATTTGTGACAGGGCCCGTGGGCAAAAGGTGAAGTGGCCGATGGTGAGGAGGCTAAGCAAGACGGCCCTCATTGAGTTGCCCAGAGCACAACTGGATGAACATAAGGTTTTTGAGCCTGTGAACTGGTGCACATTGCTGCTAACTTTATGGACGGCCCATCCTGATTTGACTTTGCTTCAGGATGCGGACGCACAAGGTTCCAACTGGAATGAAGGTTCTCCACATCAAAGACCATGCTGCTTGTCTCCTCAGATACAAGTTGTTTGGCACCATCACATTGGATCTGACCTTCAACAACCCTACGCCCAAACACACTGCCACCGAGTTGATTCAGTCACAGCTGGCAAATACATAAACCCACTGCTTCCAGGGTTTCTCGTAACAACCTTCCATACAAAAAATGAAGCACTTCCTGGTCTATGCAATATCCACAACCATCGCTATCTTTGAGCCTATTATTTCAGCCACTGTTTCAATCCATTTCACTGAATTTTTTACACTTCTCACTAAACTCCCATGTGGGAAACAAAGATTTCTCCCAAGTTGTCTCCCCCAAATATATGTTAGACTTAGGACACTGCTTGCAGCTAATGATAAATGATTGTCAAGTTACCTCCCTGAAGGCAGTCAGTCTGGGCCCACCACAGGTGAAGTTTACTCCTTGCTGTTAAGGACAATGGGCTACTTCTCCCTAAAGGCTTGAGACCATTTGTCCGGTCCCTGTAGGTGGGGTTTACACCCTACTGATAATGGTTTCTATGGAGATCCAGAGAACAGGTCAAACCAGTTCAGTGACATCCAAAGTTAGGCTGCCATCCTGAATCTAGGATCCGCCCTTCTTGTCACATGTGTACCCCCATTACTGCCTCTTCCTATTGAGTGTATATCCCTAGACTGTCCCTCTCTCATGGCTGTATAACCTACAGTGCAACCCCTTCCTGTGACATATGTCTTTACCTGTAATTATGGGGCTTGCATGCTCCCCCAAAGGTATATAGGCCTGGGTTAGAAATAAAGAGCTCTCTCGGGCTCCCCGTCTTGGCCTCTCATGGGCGCCCTCTCCCCTCCACCCCCCACCCCCGTCCTCGCTCCCCTGTTCCCTTTCCCCTTGTCCTCCCCCTCCCCCTCTCTCAGCATGGACCACCAAGCAGGGCTGAGGTGAGCATGCTACCATGAAATATGTCTGACTCCATTATTTCAATCTCTCTTCCATCTCTCATGCTCTGTGACTATTATATTTATATATCTCAACAGTACAATTGCGCCTCTCGAACCCACAATTAGTCGTGGGGGGCTGGCCTTTCCCCCCACACTCCTACATCACCAAGTATGTATGCATGCATGTGTGTGTACATATATACACGTGTATGTATATGTGTGCATATACATATAAATGACGTTATGATGCCTTAGAACTTTCTGCTGAGGCACTATTTTACACTTGTATGGGTACACTTACCTCAAAGGCTTTCTTTGGTTTATATGCTGATCTTTATTGCAGTGTGATTCAGATATTCCTCTTAGCTGGGAGGACCAGCTGTCAGCCTGCATAAAGCGCACCATTATATGTTCACCGAATGGCTTTGCTTCAACATTAGGGTTTCCAGAGACTGATCCCATCATTTAAGTTGAGGTTCACAATATAAAACAAAAAAAAAAAAAAAAAAAAAAAAATGAAAGCAATCATTAGGAGAATGAAGGTTTCTATGCACAATGAAAGATTAGACAAATTTACTATTTCAACCCTTTGATAATGGTTAAAAAAGTAATTTACTAGGAAATAAGTCTATGATGATTGTACGTAACAGTGAAATATATAAAGTGAAATCAGGAGAGCTAAGAAGAGATGGAACATACAACAAGGAAAAATATAAAAAGTCTGAAGCTTGTGGAAAACGGAATGAAGATACAGTGCAATGAACCTTTGCACATCACTGAACCAGCAATGTGCTCTCCAGCAAATTACCTCCACCCGTGGATAAGGGTGAATCACCTGTCCCCGAACATTTTATCTTGTACTCAACACAGCCACACTTTTACAGGTTACTACACCACAAATCTGTCAGTACCCTAACTTGACAAACTGAAGCCAACAATGACAATTATAATACTTTAAGAGTCTGAGGACTTTTACTTATCAGACAAATGAAAACTTCCTTTTTAATAGAGTTTTATGTTCATGGGAAAGGTGGGATATGTGAGCTACACGGACTGAAGAGTTTTAGCCTGTTTTAGTAAAGCATGCATTCTCCAGCCGGGATCGTGGCACGTTCATCCCGAAGAAGAGAGGGAGGAGGAGGAGGAGGAGGCGGCGGCGCCGGCGGCGGCATTCTTACCTACTGACAGGCTGCTGAAGGTTTCCTCCATCACTTCTCTGTAGAGTTTCCTCTGAGCAAGATCCAGCAACGCCCACTCTTCCTGGCTGAATATCACTGCTACATCCTCAAGTACCATTGAGTCCTAAAATATGACACACATTTTGAGCTGCAAAGAATCATGTATGTCAATGTGTACAAGATCCAAGTGTGCTGTTTTACAAAGATGGCGCTGAAGGCAGAGAAGGAAGCCCCTGCCCCTCCCAAGACCAAAGCCAAAGCCAAGGCATTAAAGGCCAAAAAGGCATGGTGAAAGGAGTCCACACAAAAAATATCCACAAGTCTCCCACTTTCCGGTGGCCCACGACCCTGAGGCAAAGAAGGCAGTCCAAAGGCCCCTGATAGAGTGCCCCCTGGAGAAACATGCTGGACCATTAGGCCAACATCAAGTTCCCCTTGAACAGAGTCTGCCATGACGAAGATCGAAGATAACATACTTGTTTTCACGGTGGATGCTAGGGCCAACAAGTACCAAACAGGCCGTGAAAAAGCTTCATGACATTGACATAGCCAAGATCAATACCTACTTCAGGTCTGACAGCAAGAAGGCATAAGTTTGACTGGCTTCTACGACACTTTAGAAGATGGTCTGAACAAAATTGGAATCATCTAAACTGAGTCCAACTGGCCAATGCTAAATATAAACTTTTTCAACAGAAAAAAAGAAAAGGAGAACAGTGTGAGGTCTACAGGCCGAGGTAGGTTCCAAGGTCTCACTGAATTATCACAGGGTTCTGTGCTCTATAGAGGAATAATGTATGGCAGTGCTTCCCAAAGTGGGTGATAGTGTAAAAAGATATCTACACTTTATTCTGCTCTATTGGCTACAGCATAATAGATTTTAATTGCCAGGAGGACATTTGAGTAAAAACCATTTTTTTCTTCTAAAAAGGGAGTGCTAAGTTAAGCAAGTTTGGGAAACTATGTTCTGGGGTACAGCCCTCAAATCTCATCCCTTCACTATGTTCACACCTTGTCTTTTAATTCCAACATACTGTGCAAAGACCCGGAGAAGGAAGAAGATGCTCAGAATGTATCAATCTGAAGGAACGGAACGAAACATTACAATATAGAAAGATTCAATGCCCCAAATATTGAACGAAGCATAAACAGATGATGGTGGTGGGAGGAACACAAGTTACTGTACCCAGAAATACTTGGCACACTTCAACCACTTCACAAGGGCACAGATGATCAAGAACGAATGAAACCGAAAATAACAAGTCTAAGCCTCACTGTAGGCTTTAGCAAAGAACAAGGCTCCAGGAATTGACTGGCGGATTACTACCTGAAATTTTTCAATAAGCTGATGAGGTACTGGAAGCACTCAGAAGCCCATGTCAAGGAATCTGGAGTATAACTACCAAGCCAAATTACTGGAGTGGTGCACTGTACCCATTCCAAAGGAGCATGACCCAACAGCATGTGGAACTATCAAGGAATATCACTTATGGAATATGCAAGTAGTGTTTTGCTGAAAACTATTCAACACCTGTTGCAGCAGTACATTAACAGGGAGCTGCCAGAAATTCAAGCCAGATTCAGAAGGAGTTGGCATGAGGGCATCTTTGTCAGATGGATCATGGCTGAAAGCCCAGAGAGATACTTACTTCTGTTTTATTGATTATAAAAAGGCATTTGACTTTACAAATAATGTAACAAAATATAAATAATCTTGAGCAGAATGGTAATTCTAGAACACTTCACTGTGCTTATGAAAAGTCTACACATGGACCAAAATGCAGTTGTTTATGGGCATCGTGTTCGGTAGCAAATCAGCGCAAAGGGAGGCCCTGACTGAGCTGGCCGGACCCGGGCGGCAACAACTGCTTCCACGCTTGGAGGGCCCTCGCAGGAGGAACGTGTTCACAGTACTCAGCAACAGAGGGTTATTTTTAGGAGCCCAGAGGGCACAGTGGGTTAAGCATTAGCCTGTTCACCAAAAGGTTGGCAGTTTGAACCCACCAGTCACTAGGAGAGGCAAATGAGGCAGTTAAGATGTACCACCTCAGAAACCCTCTGGAAATCTACTTTGCCTATGGTGTTACTGCAAGGAAATCGACTCGAGGGCTGGGGGTTATACTGAAATCTTCAGTAGGATATACACCAGATAAGACTTTAAGTGTTTTTACTAACAATTCATGTCCATAATAACAGAACCATGTAAGATGTAATCCTTGAGGACTCCAGCTGTTATTAAACAATCCAATGGCCTTGTAGAAACCACAAAAATATAAAATTAGATCCTTCTCTCTAAACAGAGTAACCAGGGATATCAGAGTCTGCATAGCCGTATTACCTCAGCAGGAGACTGTCTCTAAAATGTAGTAATACTTAATGTCATCATTTGGAACCAGCAACCTTATAGACCAAATAAGGCCGCCCCTTTCGGTTCTTGAGACTTTTAAATCTAGACAGAGCAGGCAGCCTTGCCTCTCTCTCTCAGAGTGACTGGCTGGTAGGAACTTCAGACTCAATGCTTAGCCCACTAGGCTACCAGGACACTTTCTAAAACGTTAAAGCATTTTTAAGACTTCCACGGGATGTAAGAAAGATTTAGAGCAATATTTTATTCATTAAGCTACACATGCTCTACTCTTGAGACATACATATTCATTCACTCGAACAATTATCAGTAGAAGCATGCCAACTAACGTAGAAATTTTCTTCCAGTGGAAACAGTAAACCAAAAAAATGCAAATACACCTGACTCAGAAGCTGAGCTACTCTAACAGAAAAGAATGCTTTTATTTCAGATTTTAATTCGAGACTATAGAGAACGTTAAAAAATCTTAGGGATTAATCCCAGCTCTGTGCATAGGTGAGTGCACAAGGTCCTGTGTTGGGGACCCATGGGGTCCGCACACAGGAACACGTCAGGGAAAAAGCCTTCCACACTGGGGTAAACAGAACATGGATCTGGAGGCCCCACACAGGACTCAGCTGTACTCACTACCTAGTCTCATAACCTTAGTACTGGCAGGAGACCCTACCACCACTCAGGACCCCATAGACAGCCAGGGGCTTTCCCGACAGATGCTACCTTCCTGTTCTAACCCAGGATACACTGAGTGAGTGAGAGGGGGCGGCTGTAGTGTAAGAACTGTACAGAAAATATTCTAATGCCTGAGAGAAATCAAGAGAACTTTTAAGCCAGATGGGACACGGATGGACTTAGATAGAGCGTAGAGAATCCCAGGACAGGGTCACAGTAAGTTGGGGTGAGCCAATTGGTGAGCCACTGATTGGCAGGGCAATTTCCAGAGGACCCTTCCAGGAGCACTTAGATTTAAGGATCTCAGTATCCACAGCCAGAGCAGCTCTGCCTTCAGGCGTTGCTCATGCTGGCACACAGAGCACCATGGCCCAAGGCGGGGCTGCTACTGCCTCGTGTGACAGCTCTGAGAATCACAAAAGAAAAGTGACCCGACGGTCAACTGCGGCAATTTCACACACATATAGATGGAAGGCCCAGTGACTGTGGAGCGGGGACCAGGATGGCTCCTTGGCCTCCTTGGCCATTTCCCCTACATTGAAGAACCAGTCTACAGCTGATCCCACAAGGCACACAAGCCTCACCCACGTAAGAGCAGAGACCCCACTCCTTGGTAGAACTCACCATTTCCTTGCTCAGCATTCAAGGGAAATGTTATCTCCAAGCCCAAGAAACGACGCCAGGAAGAGGGATGGGGCTGGATGTTGAGCACCAGGCGGTCTGGAGACAGACAAGTCAGAGCAGCCGAAATCCTTCCTTTTTATTTCAGGATGGGCAAAAGGGTTGCCCCAGCCCCCAGCCTCCTGGACTAGACTGGATTGGTTCTCCATGCACCACACTGGGAACCTGAAATGGAGGAAGAGGGGAGCAGGCAGTGCTAAGTAACGGTGAGAGGAACGGGCTTCTAGCTTCCTCCAGGTTCAGGGCGATGCTCCACTCTGAGGGCCCTCGGACTTAAGGTGCCTCCAAGGTGCACACCTGTATCCTTCATGCAGCTACATGGCCCCTCCTTTCTGCCAACAAGACGTAGGAATTCACTTATCCCACAGCTTGAGAGTCAACAAGGCTTGCCAAACTGGAGAACTTGAACCTGATTTCTCCTAGGGCGTGAGAGGTGCAATGCTCAAGTTGTAACTGTCCCTAATCAGGATGCACATATTTTTCACCTTTTCTGAATGCACTCATCAGGGGCCATTCACTCATTTTTGATGACATAGTGTCAAAACCCTTCAAATGCACCTTTAAAAACTATTTTTATTTCATCTATAGCACTGCATCACATGGTTGGTAGGGTTCCCGCGGATGCTGCAATGAGCATGTCTGCCTTCATCTTGACCAGCCCCGGAGCTCTGTCTTTCAGTTTTTATTCATTTCAATCGAAACAGCAACATCTGGGTAGTGGCCATCACAGCTCTGGCGGACTATTTAGAACCTTAAGCAACCAACACAGCAGAGAGGGATGAACGCTTCCGTCCACCCATCTGCACAGCGCAGAGCTTCGCAGCTTGTTTGCTGAAAGATTATCACACAGGCAAACTCCAAAACCCAAACCCAGACTCACGGTCAAGTCACAGCGACCCTCTGTGGGTTTCCGAGACTGTAACTGTTTACAGGAACAGAAAGAGTTGCAGGTGGTCTTAAACTGCCCACCGTGCAGAGCGCAGCCCAATGCAATGCCACTACCCACGCCCAGGGCTCCTCAGAGCCGGCAAAATGAGAGACGACATTCCACGTCTCTTCTTGTAATCCACACCATGAAGATCCATGTGATGTACCCCAGACTGAAATGGCAGTCACATTTAAACAGACAGGAGCTGAGGGGGACAGGAAGGCACTGTCCTAGGAGACATTTGATGCAAGACCTGAAGTGTAATAAGAACGATCCAATCCCCACGGTGAAAAGCTTCCCTCCAATCAAAGGGACGCCTCGCACAGATGCTGAAAGACATGGAATAGCTTCCCCGCTTTGAAAAGGAACTCGATGCCCATGGGAGGAGATTATCCAACGGGAGAATTTCATAAATGTGAGTGAGAGTTACATATAAGCAGGACTGTGTAGGAGCTTATGGACCAACCATAAAGCGTCTGGATTTTATTCCCCATATGAACGATAGCTTATTTGGTGTCCGTTACTTAATATCCCTTTCACTGCTGGGTGGCGAGAACACCTTCGGGTGATAAAGAGAAACACGCAGAGGAGCAGAGGCCCATCACATCAGGCAGACCCGAGGAGCTTGGACTATTCCCCTAATTTAGAGACGTCATGGCATGTCTTTATGGGCATGCATCGGGGGAGACGACACCATGGAGAAGGGCACCGTGCTTGGTAACGTAGAGGGTCGAACAAAGAGTCTAAGACCTGCAGGGCTGACACGGCAGCTGCAAGAACAGATCCACGTGTAGGAAGTGACAGTGGCAGAGGACTGGGCGGTGATTCTCCCCGTTGTACACAGGGTCACTCTGAATTGGAGCCAATTCCATGACCCCTAAACACATCACAAACGGTTGCTGCTGCCGTGAGGTGCTGACACACAGTGAATGTACAACGGAACGAGACCACCACGCCGAGGCCACCGCCCATTGCTCTTACACTGAAGCCCACTGCGGAAGCCAGTGTCCAGCCAGCCACTGAGGGCCTTCCTCCTTTTCACTGCCCTCCACTTACCTCTCCCAGATACTGCTCTGTCCTGGCAAGAAGCCCAAAGAACATGGGCTAGTGATAAAAGCCCCGACAGCTTCTTTCAGGGGCTTTGAGCATTAGGCTGTTAAGCACGAGGTGAGCAGCTGGGATCCACTAACTGATCCGTCAGAGAAAGATGAAGCTGCCGATTCCTATCAAGATTTAGTCTCAGAGAAACCCAAAGGGGGGGGGGTGCTCTACCATCTTGTCGGGGCCACTGTACGCTGACCGACAAGCTGGCAGTGATCGCTGGGAGGGAACGGATGCTGTGCCACTTATTGGTTGGAAAAGACAGGCAAGTAAATGTGTTCAGGTGAGATAATACAGCTCTTTGGTGGACCTAAGCAGCCCTAGTGGCACCAAACATAGTGGGTTAGGTGGTTTGTCCACAGTAGCAAAGTCAGTGCTTCCAGGAAACCACAGATGCTCCCTGGGAGAGAGGTGAGCCTGCCTGGTCCCATAAAGATTTGCACTCTCGGAAACGGAAGGAGCAGTTCTGTCCTGTCGGGTCGAGTTGACCTGATAGCAGGGGGAATGAGGAGAGAAATCTGAGTTCCAGAGCCCACTGGGACCAGGAGACGGTATCGGAACCTGGAGGTTCGTCTCCTCCTGGCCAGGCACAATCAAACTATGCTCCCTAAAAAAGGTTCTATTCGAAGCTCCAAACTAAAGGAAGAGGATGGGTGGGCCTGAATAGAGCTGTAGATGTAGGTTGACATTGTGGTGTTATCTGAGAGGTAGTCTTACGACGCTAAAGTAGAACTATGGGTGGTTTCTAATGAAGGTTTGACTCGAAGTGATTTCATTAAGTATATCTCCAACAGGAGTCCTGGTGGTGCAGTGATTACGCAATGAGCAGCAGTTCAAAACCACCAGCCGCTCCACAGGAGAAAGAACTCAAGTTCATAAAAGGGAGGACTTTCAGACCATTGGTTCTCAACCTTCCTAATGCCATGACCCTTTAATACAGTTCCTCATGTTGTGTGACCCCCCACCCAACTATAACATTATTTTTGTTGCTACTTCATAACTGCAATTTTGCTACTGTTATGAATTGGGTAACTGCTGTGAAAGGGCCATTCGACCCCTAAAGGGGTCGTGATCCACAGGTTGAGAACCGCTGTTTAGACTTTCTATGCGCCCTGGTGGCAGGGAGGGTTACACTGCGGGGTGCTAACCACAAGGTCAGCAGTCTGAAATCACCAGCGCTCTTGTGGGAGAAAGACAGGGGCTTTCTACTTCCATAAAGAGTTACAGCCTCGGAAACCCACAGGGACAGTTCTCCTGTCCTGTAGGACCGCCATGAGTCGGCGCTGACTTGATGGCAGAGCGTTTGGTTTTGGTTTTTAGCCCTGGCAACACAAGGGTTAAGGACCTGGTGGCTAATCAGTGGTCTGCAGTTTGAACCCACCTTACGATCCCAAGGAGAAAGAAGGGACTTTCTACCTTTCTAACTATTTGCTACTCAAAACCACTGCCGAGTGGTTAACTGAGTGGTTAACTGAGTGGACGGATGGAAGGCAAGTTCATGATTAAGGGGTTAATGACTTTCTGCTCAGTGATGAAAATACTTGGGAACCAGTAAAGGTGGTGGTTGTACAACAGGGGAAGAGTAATTGTTATCGTTAACATATCTGTAAAAATTACTGAAATGGGAAATGGTTTTACATATATGCTCCTCCCCACAAAATGATAGAATTGACACTATTTGAAAAACAGACGATTAATTTCTTACTCTGGTAGTATAACTGAAAAGAATTAAACCATAAGAAAAGTGTTTAAACCCACCAGTCTCACCAAGGTAAAATAATGAGGCCGGTAAACAAGCGGCCATCTAGCTGAGAAGCAACAAAGCCCACATGGAAGCACACCAGCCTGTGTGATCACGAGTGTCCGATGGGATCAGGTATCAGGCATCAGAGAACAAAAAATCAGATCACTGTGAATGAGGGGGAGTGCGGAGTGGGGACCCAAAGCCCATCTGTAGGCAACCGGACATCCCCTTACGGAAGGGTCGAGGGGAGGAGACGAGCCAGTCAGGGCGCATTGTAGCAACGATGAAACATACGACTTTCCTCCAGTTCCTAAATGCTTCCTAACCCCACCACCACCACCTCTCCGCCCCACCGCACTATCATGATCCCAATTCTACCTTACAAACCTGGCTAGACCAGTGTAAGGACAACAGAAAAGTGGGTGAAGGGAGATGTCAGACAGTGTAAGATATGACAAAATAATAATTTATAAATTATCAAGGGTTCATGAGGGAGGGGGAAGTGAGGAGGGAGGGGGGCAAAAGTGGAGAGCAAATGTATTGAGGATGAGGGCAACGAATGTACAAATGTGCTTTACACAATTGATGCATGTATGGATTGTGATAAGAGTTGTATGAGCCCCTAATAAAATGATTTAAATAAAACAATGAGGCTGTCTGCTCCGGTGAAGATCTACAGCCTCAGAAACCCTGTGTTGGGGCCACGATGGGCCTGCATTGACTGGATGGCAGGGGGGTTGCTTTGTGTATGGAGACAGCGAGGAAAACGGGAATTTCAGAGACTTAATGCCAACCATAGGCTGGACTAACCTCACAACCTCAAACAAGCAAATGCAGCTCATCCGTGGAGTCGAGGCCAACTCAGCAAGCCCACCGCGCAGGGTAGACCTGCAGCCCTTCATGGGAGTAGAAAGCCTCATCTTTCTCCCAAGGAGCAGCAGAGGGTTTCAAATTGCTGACCTTGTGTTTAGCAACCCAATGCATAAAATCACGTTTCAGGAACCCGTTTGTGGAAAATAGACTTTTAAAAGTAATTAGGAAAAAAAAAAAAAAGTAATTAGGTCTGAAGCATCTCGTCACTATTGGAACAAGGATAACACAGGGCTGCTTCCCCAACAAAGAATCACACGAACAGAAAACAGTTAAAATCAGTAAACATTATGCTAGTCGCAATTGCATGTCTAGTGAGTTCTCAAATAGGACGTTAAATTTGTAATTTTGCTGTTATGAATTGTCATGTAAATATCTGATGCGCAGGATGTATTTTCAAAATGTATTACAAATTGAACATCATTAATCACAAAACAACATGTAATTATATATTGTGAAATATTTATTTCTAATGACAAATAAATGGAATGTTGTCTTGGTGGAAGCATGGTGTAGCATGGGTCACAGTCTTCATGCAGAGTACTCATACGTGGGCGTATCTGCATGCGGGTGATGTGGGCGTATCTGCATGTGGGCGGACCGGCCAGCAGATGGATAGAGCAGTGTCTCGGTTCCTAAAACCACTGAAAATATGTTTTCCGATGGTCTTAGGCGACCCCTGTGAAAGGGTCCTTTGACCCCAAAAGGGGTGGCAACACACAGGCAGAGAACCGCTGCTCTAGGGTCTGTTGCACGGCGTATGACAAAGTTGCATTATATATGCCTCCCAGTTTGACCATCTTCCTAAAATTTGCTATTCTGAAATTTAAAATACCAATCGTTTTTGTTCTTAGACCCTTCGATGTTTTAAGATGTATAGTTCCAGGGTATATGCAGCATTGCATTTTACAGTGAACCCTCGCCACTTCGCGTTTCGACTTCCGCGGCTTCACTCTATCGCGGTTTTTGCGTAACAGCGCATGCTCTGTCATTACTGCCACTGATTGGCTCATACTGTACACGCTTGATGCCATAAATAATACAATAAATAATAAATGATCATTGTAACGTCCAAAATGTTTTACTGTATTTTCCCTTTTTCGTTTAATAAATTGGGTAATACGAGTGTAATGGTGACTAAAGGGTGTTTTTTCATGTCCTCTATGCTCTAACTACGAAAATATTTGATTTACAAATAAGGAATCCTACTTCGCGGAATTTAATTTATCACGGTAGGGTCTAGAACCGATGAACCGCGATAAATGAGGGTTCACTGTGTATCAGACCAATGAGGATGGCCAGCTCACCTCACACAATTATGATAAAAATGTCTGCCTTAGAGTCAATAAAAGTCCTTATAGTAGGTACCTATTAATATTTCCCTCTTGAAATTGGTATAAATATGCATGCACTAAGGAGCCCTGATGGAGTAGTGTTGGGCTGTCAATCACAGGGTCAACAGTTTGAAACCATGAGCTGCTCCCGGGGAGCAAGACAGGGCCTTTCTACTCCTGTTAAAGAGTTGAAGTCTTGGAAACTCTCAGGGCCCACCCTACCCGGTAGTGTCACTGTGAGTCACAATCCACTCGAGGGCAGCGAGTTTAGTTTTTGGTTTAAATGCACGCATTTAAACTCCATTTGTCTCAACCTATAACCATTAAAGGAGGGGGGGTTTGTGTCTCACCACAATCTTCATTTTTGTTTGACAATCAATACTCAACAAAACTCCCGCCTGATGCAGCACAGGAAACAAAGCCATTTTAGGCAGAGGAATGGTGATCAGCACTAGGCACCTACATATGAACAGGTGTAAGTTTGGTGAGCTGCCAGGTATTTGTCCTTAGGTGAAGTATTTCATTTCTGCAGGGCAACGACTGTGTAGAAAGCACAGGGACAATGCCTAACTTACTGCGAGTGCTCTTTTGTGACTAGGAAGCGGCGCAGAAGGCAGCGGTTCTCAACCTGTGGGTCGTGACCCCCTTGGGGACGGAACGACCCTTTCACAGGGGTCGCCCGATGCAAAAGAGTCACAAAATGACAGTGATGAAATAGCAACGAAATTAATTTTATGGTTGGGGGGGTGTCAACGAATACAGGGGACCTGGTGTGTGTGTGCGTGGAGGGGCGAGCGAGCACTAGTTTTATGTCACCCCGGGGGTGGGGGGGGGCGATGAAGCGGGATGGCACGGCACTTACACAGTCCAGCACCTCAGACACAGGCGCACAGAGTACACACACGCTGTGGGGTGCTGTGGTCTCGCCGCGGTGGGGGTGCGCGCGTGCGTGGTGTGAGGTCTACGCGTCGGCCCGGGGAAGGGAGCGCACCCAGCGGGGACCGCGGGGCAGGGGCCCTGGGCGCCGGGCACTCACGCACACCGTCCTACCTGGAGCGCACTGTGGGGTCTCCCCGGGGGGCAGGGGTCCCGAGGCTCCTCCGGGGCGCGGAAGAGCGGAGGGGTGGGGGGGCGGCCTGCCAGTCGACCAAGCCCACCGCCCGCACCGAGACGACCGACCTCCCCCGCCGGCGGGCGCGTACGACTCACGCAGCGGCTAAGGGCCCGGAGAGGTCACACTTCCGCTTCCTGTTTGAGGAGCCGTCGGTGTCGCAGCGGAAGGGGCCCGTGCACAAACCTCGAGTGCTCTCACACGGGCCCGGGGGATTCCGTGGTTCCAACTTGTGTTTGTCATCTTGCTCCCGAAAGGAATCCAACCCCATGGCCATCGAGTGGAGTCCCACTCATAGCGGCCCTATATATAGGATGAGGTGGAACGGCCCTTTCTGGGTCTTTAACTCTATACAAGAGTAGACAGCCCCCAGCTGACCTTGCCCAGTGCCTCAGCTTTTTGATCTTCAGATGATACATGTGTCCTATGGACATTTTAATCTCATCTCCATTAGTTATCTCCCAGAATTATAAAGATAAAGTGAAATAAAGTGAGAAAGAAAAGAAAATCAGCAGTTAGTTTAAGTCACTTGGGTGACCACAGGGTTGGAGAAGTTGGTAGGTAACCAGGTAACCAGAACTGGGACCAGGTTGTCTGCTGGGCATGCTCCAAATTCAGGCTCTGAGCCAGGAAGGGGCAGTACACCTAGGTGGGCGGTACACGGGGTGGGCCCCAATCTGGGCCAGGTGAATTTAATTCAGCCATGGGGTCAACCAGAAACGTCAACCATGCCTCCAAACGGGAGTGGGTGGAGGCCTAAAAAGCCCGGATCTGAAGCCCACTGGGCTCCTTCTCCCGCTGCTCCTTGACCAGTTGCTGTTTTCCTCTTTCCTCCGTTTTCCGCGGGTGGGTGAGAAGTGCCCCGACTGTGCCTGTGCAAAACCTGAATCTTCTTCTGCCCTTTATAAAACTCACTTGGATCACACACCAGGCAAAACCAGGGGGTTTTGAACTGTTGACCTTGCAGTCAGCTCCCCAAAGCGAAACCATGCCTCCAGGGCTGCTGATCTTGCCACAGTTCTCTAGTCTGTCTTTCTCTAGAGAAAAATCTCAGATTTTCTTGAATGCATATTTCAGGGGAATGTTTCAAAGGGTACAACAAAAGTTGATATGTGGTGATTTGAAGCATTCTTCTACCATGTTCTTTAGAGAAAAAAAAGATGTTTTTTACTGCTTAATATTTCCACATCTTTATGATGGTTGAGGGAGCCCTGGTGGCATAATGGTTAAGTGTTGGGCTGCTAACTGCAAGGACAGCAGTTCAAAACCACCAGTCACTGGTGGGAGAAAGATGAGTTATCTACTCAAAGAGCTATAGTCTCAGAAAGGGCAGTTCCACCCTGCCCTATTGGGTCACTTTGCATTGAAATCCAGTCAACTGTTTGTTTTAAGGCTCCAGTTTGCCCGTGTCATGGTTTGTTGTCCTTTCCCTAGGACTATTGCCCATACTGCCAACCCAGTCTGATCTGTGTCAGCGCTGAGGGCCTGGAGTCTTGCAGGCTGAGTGGCAGACTGTTTGCAACAACTGAACTGAGAGCCAAAGCAGGAGACACAGGGCGGGCTTCCTAACCCATGGAGCCGATCAAGTTGAGTGTCACGTGAGATCAAAAGGGCACACATTTATTGAAGGATAAACTTCAGAGGGATTTTGAGGGAGGAGGAATGTATACAGAAAACAGGGGAAAATGGGATGTGGTGGCACATTGAGTGGATTGAATGAATGAGATGAAACCAGTGTCTAAGAACTGTTGGATGTACACTTGATTGGCTTTGTAAACTTACACAGACTTCATGATGAAAGTTTGTTGTTTATTTGTTGTAAGAAACCTTAAAAGAAGAGTAAGAAGACAATGACACCCTCGTCAGCCATGGAACCACCATGTGCCTCCGTTTGTGGTGGATAATTTTCCAGTAGCCTCATAGGTATGAAAAGGTTCGACAATGAATAAGGAAGACCAAAGAAAAATGGATGCGTTTGAATTATTCGTATTGCGACTGCGGTTTGACTCCATTCTGACGCACCTGAGCCCTTCGTCCAACAGAATGAAACCCTACGGGGCCCTGCACCGTTCCCACCCCTGTTCTTATGTTTGAGGCCATGGTTGCAGCCACTGTCGGGTCTTACTGTGGTTGATGTCTCTCTACGTTACCAAGCATGATTTCTTGTTCAGGTATGGGTCTCTCCTCACTCATGTCCACAGTACCAGAGACGGAGGCTCATCATCCTTGCCTCTATAGCATTCTGGCTGGACTTCTTCCGAGATAGATTTGTTTGTTCTTTTGGCAGGTCATGGTCCTTACAATACTCTTCACCAGCACCATAATTGAAATGCGTCAATCCACCTTCCCATTTCTTCATTAAATGTCCAATTAGAGCCAGTGAATTGTACATTTCCAAATGGTTGAGATGGACATATAGACATAGGCATGCAATAAAACATTTTAAAATAAGACAAAAATTCATTAGAGGCTTACCTTTCATCACGCTTGAAAATTAAATTTTCTACTTTTTCTGGGACAAGAGCCCTCGTGGCATACTGGACTGCTGACTTCACTATGAGTAGTTCAAAACCACCCGCCACTCTGAGGGAGAAAGAGGAGGCTTTCTACTCCTGTAAAGTGTTACAGTCTCAGAAAGTCACAGGGGCAGTTCTACTCTGTCCTGTAGGAGTCGTTATTAACCTGATAACAGAGAGCATTGAGTTTGGGAGTTTACCTGGATTTTAGTATATTTTTACCAAAGGGCTTGAAAGAGATCAAAGAAAAATGGAATTAAAAGACAATAAAAAATTTCCATGAACTTTTTGAAGACCCCTCATATATATGTGAAATAAAAATTTAAAAAACATAGAGGAACAAAAGTAAAAATAAGTGGATATTTATATCAAAACCGTTCCCAGACCTAACTTACAAGAGGATAAATCATGATGGCAAAGACGGATTCGAACTCAAACCCCAAACTCTAAAGTCCATTTGCTCTGTCAAAATGACCACATAGCAAACTAAAGGACAAACAAATCAGACCTGCAGTCAAGGTGTGGGCAGAGCCGGTTCCTTCCCGAGGCTTCACGGAGGTGACTCAATGGCAGTGAGTTTGATTTGGGTTTTACAGAGGCCAAAGTCCTTGGCCTGTGGCCCTTTCCTGAGTCTTCAAGAGCAGCAGTGGAGCAAGTTACGGTCTGCCTTTCTCTCTTCATCTCTCTCTCTCTGCCTTTGTCCTCACACCTCCAGATCGAAGTCTTACCCTCCCGCCTCCATCAGAGACTATGGGCCACTGGAAGAGCCAGGGTCATCTCCCACCTCAAGACCATTTCTGTCATCCACCTGCAGGGCCCCTTTTACTGATGCAGGCACCAGATCCACAGGCCCAGAGAGCTGGGTAGGGACACCTTGGGGGCCCCCACTGAGCCAGCCACCAAGGGTTGATTCATAAACCCCAGGTTGTGGCTTGTCATTGATTAGATTCCAGCTCATAGCGAGCCCATCATGTGACAGAGTAAAACTACCCATAGGGCTTTCAATGGCTGACTGTTCAGTCATAGATCACCAGGCCTTTCTTCCCAGGGATGAATGGGTGGACTCCAACAGTCAACCATTTCAATTAGCAGCCCAGCCTGTTAGCCCTTTGCCCAGCCCAGGGACTCCAATGCCAGAGCCACTGAGTCAAGTCTAAGTCATAGCAACCCTATCGGGCACCATAGAATGGCCTTGTCACATTAAGTTTCCTGGGCTATGAATTTTATGGGAGCAGATCATTAGGCATTCCTCCTGCTGGGTTTGAACTCCTGGACTTTCGGTTGGCAGCTGAGAACTTGATCACTGTACTACCAAGTCTTCCTTGAGCCCTGGACGTCTAAAGGTGATCCTGTAGAGGACTGAGGTGCATTTGCCTAACCAAACGCTGTGCTTGGAGAGAGGGAGGATCTTCCCTGGAGTATACATTTTAATTCCAATCCAAATACTAGGTCCCTCCCCACAGGCACATAGCACCTGACCTGGTGCTGAGAAGTCACAGCACAAGGCTCTGGGCTCTCCTTTCCATACTCTGGGTCTGCAGACTTACTCGGTGTCCTGTGGTAGTTACATCGTCTGCTGTCAACTTCAGACTATTAAGAGTGAAGGGGTGGAGTTTAGTCTGTCAAACAGGTTGCAGCTGCATGACCTCATTTGGAGGCATCACGGAGATAAATAGCTCACTGGAGGTCAGACACACTCTCCACTTCATCTCCCTGTGAGGCATTCCTGTTGACAAGCCACATGGAGACACACTGATGGAGCCAGAGCTGTGGAGCTGGAGGAGCCACGTGGAGACCCACACCAGGGTTAAGATGCTTCCACCGCCACTGGATCCACAAGACTTTCCACCCACCAGCCTGTGATCTTCCTGCACTCAGTATCACTGCAAATGTTGCACGAGTTTGACGAGCAATTTATAGACTG